ATATTCAAATGTATTTAGATAGCCTACGTCAGTCAGTCTGCTTCTTTTAAATGTGTTACTCCGTTTTAATGTTTCATTTCGTTAAAAAAACAATGCTCTACACCTATATAACTGTCTCCCACAAACTTCTTTTCTTCCCTCAACATTCAGAAATCAATCAATCATACTGTGTACATCTCTACCTATACAGAGGATTTGACCTTTCGACATGAATGATCTCCCATTTGTAGTAGTCCACTCTCTTTGTCTGAAATTGCGATCGATGCCCTTTCACACCAGGTATGAGTTCTTTGGGTAGGTCGGAGAGAGAGAGAGTCGCCAGGTAGAAGGAATAGGCATGCAGGCAGGAGATGTGGGATTTGTGATAGTGTAATGACTCGCGATCACGACCAAAATTGAATTATTACCGCTGTGATTCAATTCTTCCGTGACAAATAGCTGTTCCCTGAAGATTAAACTCAACTCACTGCAACAGAAGTGGAGTGAAGAGGGTTTGAAAAAAAATGGTAAACAAACTTGGACAAAGACGTCATTTTTTAGCGGTGGGGGAGAAATGAAAGTGACTTTGCGTCGATTCATCCTGGCATTCTTAGCAATCACCTGGCATTAGATGTCATATTGAATCAAACACACTACATCCGCATGAAAATATTCAATTTTCAAACTTCAATTTCCTGATTAAAGTATCTTATCTCACAGACATCTGTGATTAATGTGTTAAAACATCTACGTCTTAAATACGCAGGTCTTATTTTTGGATGGTGTTATGGACACTCCCATCTCCCCTCTTAATACCTGGCTAAAATTTGATTAAAATAAATGATGCTTGTATAGTAATTATAGTCACTATGTTGCCAAAAATGAGCTTATCCTGTAAAATCAACAACAACTAACCTTAGATCTCCTACGTACTTCCTCACCCGCAAGCCAGCACGTAATTAATTTGCTGAAAAGATGGAATTGAGGACGTGGTGGGTAGGGGGCATAAAGTACACCTTGCATGACAACACTCTTGTTCAATTATCAATCCTCCACCTGCTGCAGCGAGACACGATCACCATCACTGAAATCCTTCCCGACAGACGACCCGCTAACTCCCCATCTCCCCTCACCTCACCTTAAGAAAGTAAATCCGTTTACAATCATCCAGCAGCCCACTGATAGAGTGAGCAGGGCACTTCAAGTCCGTATCAGGTGATAAGACGCAACGGTGATGATGGTGCTGAACTTCTGCATCATCATCATCATCATCATTGGCTCCTATTACGTCTTCTCCACGCCTCCAGAGTCCTGTTTTACTTGGCTCAACTAAACAAATCTTGTTTTACAGGAGTTATTTCTGAACTTGGTTGACTTGGCAAGGGCCTAGTCAGGTATAGGGGGAAAATTGAGGAGAGAGATAGACATCTTGGGCAAGGAAACTTAATCAAGGCAGGTATTACGTCTTCTCCTAATGAATTCAATCAGGGTTTAATCATGTGATGTCTCATAACATGTGGTCTTTCAATAAGGTCTGCTCTTTGCAATAGAGCAAGGTAGGCATATCACTACTTGAAACTGCTGCTTTTCACGTAGAACAAGCAACACCTTTACACCGATCCAAGTATGTATATTTGCAATATTTGGATACTTGTTGTTCAACTCCATCAATTTTCATAAAGCAACAATTTTGTTTTTGTTTTGGGACATATGTACACATGTCATTGCACTCCAATGCCCTCAACCAGAAGGACAAATGGATACAACCATTTCTTCCCCTTCTGTTTTTCACTCTAGATTGCAATACTTAAAAGGGGAGAAGAACATGGTCTGAGAAAATATGACAAGAAATTATCTCTGTCTCCTCCCGTTCTCCATTTCTAAAGTGATTTTGACGAGGATGATATTTGAAGCAGGTGTCCTGGGCCATAACTCAGTGTCACTTCTTGTTTCCCCCTCTCCATCTTGCTCAAAGGACACACGAGACCAAGACACGCATTACTCTGCAGAAAAATGAACATCTTTGGGGAAGATCGGCAGCGACCAAAGCAAAACAAGGAAGAGGTTGAACATGAAGTATAACATGCAAGGAATAAAAGTCATCTGTTAGCTCTTTTCTGCTTACCGGTACTTCTTCTTCTCATTCGTGTTTCTGTCGAGGATTCGTAGAGAAGGCTATTGATCACCAAGACAGATCATGATGAGAAAGGGAGGGACGCTACTAAGATGTAAACCGACCTCTCATGTGGCTCCTTTGCTCGGTTAAAATTTCATGCAAAGATGAGTTGAATAATTCCACAATGAAACCAAACAATCCCATTCCCCTCAAACATATCTACACAATCACACAAAAGGAGATGAAATAGGATGTCATACATGAAAGACATTGTGCTCGTTTAATTTTGGTTCTGGTGGGATATTGCTTCCATTTTCTTCTCATTAGCTCAGCGTTGTAATTCTCTTTGACTTTCATTGTTGATCCTCACATGACTATACATTGTCAGAATCCCTAAAGTCTCCACTTCTTGCTCGCATGTTTGTGATCAGAGTGACAGGAAGTGGGATGAGTTAACAGATTTTACTCTCTCTCTTGAAGTAGGGTAGGAGGAAGGATGAGCTGTTCTTTAGTCTGCAGCCCCTCCCCTCCCCTCCCCTCCCCTTTCTTCCTTCACAAATCAAGAATGCCTTAAATATGATCATTAAAGGCAGGTGCCATCCTGACTCTATCATATGAGCAATCAGTCTAAAACTTTAAAAATCTATAAAGTAAACAAGCCAGATTCATGTTAAATAATGTCTTTTTCTTTCTTTGTGTTTTGTTTCTCTTCAAATCTGTGTTTTTGTATAAAGTGAAACAGAACTATTTGTGTTAGCACCCCTAAACATTTTATATTATTATTGCACATGTATAAATAAGGATTTTCCCACAAAATGACTGAGCATTAAGCACGTGGTAATAGAATGGGTTAAAGAAACCTTATTTTACATAAATAGCAGCAATATCTCCAGTCTCACTCATTTAATTTGATGCGGTAAATTTGAATGGAAATCAACTTGAAGAATTCTATAGACCGTACAAGCCTTGAAGTGCAATGAACTGAATACGAATGTCTTGCCCCATGTTTACAGATTGAACTTTCTCACACAAACAGACAGTTAAACACATCTCTAGATCTTTTAAACCATCAAACTAGCACTCCTCCCCTGTCTAACCAAATTAGAACCAAACACAAAGATGCCGTCTGTGTATCCCGGCTAAAGTTGAGAACAGAGCTCGATCTTCAGAGTCTAGACGGGACCCCTGAGAACATGATTTGACATGATTTCATCTCCACACGCAACTCCCCAGCTCATCCCCAGCTTCCCAGACACATAACTTCACACCTTCAGCTAGTCACCTCCCATTTGAGGAAGAACCCTTATTGACTCCATCTGGCGGTGGAGAAGAATCAAGAAAGGGGCGACCCTCTGGGCTTTAAACCAGCCTGATCCTTGCATGTGATTCCGATTGGGCGGATGATTAGCAACATGTGATTGGAATTAACCAATGACGAGGTAATGACAGTGAAAGGAGTTCCTCTATTGTCACCTAAAGGTCTATAACCCTCAAAGAAACCCATTTAAACCATTTTCTATGTAACACCTTTACTCTGATCGGGTTAAACTTTTACCTGCTTTCAATTAAGGGATAAAAGTTCAAATGGCCTTCTAAATGTCTGACATGCCCCCTTTTTTAATGCACATGGTTCCTACTCTTTATGCTCACAACCAAGCTCTTTATTCTCTGTATGCAGCACCTAACTTTGTGTTAATCTATACCATATAGCTCTAACTGATGCACAAGTTCCCACCTCTACCTCCTCTCCACCGATCCCCCTTCTCCAGCGGACCCAAAACCTGTGACGCATTACGCGAGGATCAAACAGGATCAGATATTCCAGGCCCCCAAAATTCAATAAAGCAAAGGTACAGGCAGATAAAGCAATAATTGCATACCATCTGGATGTGCATCTACCAAAGTCACAAATCGATTCCTCTCCAGACACTGCCTGGTCAGATAGCCTACTGAGCTGAGATGCTCAAGATATCCCTACGGTTCTGACAGTGACCTAGTTATAACTAGGCCATCGTGACGGCTACCTATGATTGCGGGCTGAGTGTGGGCTCTCTCTCTTGCTTGTTTTGACTGAAACTGCCATATTGTATTATCCCTCTGTGGAAACCTTTTCCCCTGCTATCTCCCCAAGATGATATTTGATAACGGTTGGCGGTAACTTGAACTTATCTGCTACCTTACGTGGCTTGGCTCCTTGGTCGAATGAAAATAAGCAAGAGAGGTAGAAGCAGCAGAGAGGGACAGTAGGCCTAATCCAAGGATTATGAGTTACTCATCATCATAGATTCTTGTTTGATTCTAAGTGGTGACGTGAACATGTCATTGACTGACATGTCCATTCTTCTCCCCTCTCCATGTACACACAAATGACATGTTACTATCTGTTATCCCCCAAATGAGGGAAATTTTGATATGATGGTACCATATAAACACTTGGGAACAAGGAACGTAGCATGAGCCAATACTATTATATAGTAACAGTCCCACAAAATTGGATCCTAGATGAAAAAGACAATATTGATGGTGCATTTCTGAGGGTGCCATTATGGTACAAGGTTTTCTTGAAAGTTTCTGGTGGAAACCATTCATTAAAAGGCTATGGAACCCCATTTTAACATTTAACAGCTAGAGTTTTGCCTAAACCATCAGTAGTGTCTGATGTTGAGGAGTGGTTCAAGCAATAACACCAATGCCACCAGATGATGTTTTGCGGTTCCATCACAGACATCAATATAGGGTTCCATAGATAATGCCACTAGTATCAAATCCATTTCAAACAAAACAATGTTAAATACCATCTGCTAAGAGCAAGAAGGGTATTAATTCACACACTTTAGCACAAAGTTAATACATTACTTCTAGCTTTGAGCAGATGCTACGCACGACATGAAACATGGTCTCTTACCCTGATTGCCTGCTGCCTGAGTCTCTCGGCGTCACGCACCACGTGTGGTGCTGCGGGAGAGGTCACCAGACCTGGTGGTGCTGCAGCAGACGGAGGCAGGAACGAGTGCTGGTGGGTATGCTGGTGTTGGTGCATGTGTTGGTGCATATGAGTCTCTTGGCGGAGGTACGGAGGGGGGCCAACCGACATGCTGGGGTTGTGAGACGCCAGGAAACGGTTGTTGAGCTCTTGCCGAAGCAGCTCTTGTTGGTGTTGTGCCTGCTGCTGTTGCTGTTGTGGGGTGGGTGGCTGCTGAGGATTGGTAGGGGGCGCCGACGGTTGCGGCTGTGGTCCACTCTCTGCTGGGAGAACAAATTGACATAAGTTTGTTAGTTCTACATCTCAGTTGTGGCTTGCATGCCTGTTTGTAAATACATATCATATTGGAATAATTTTGTGTTCAATTCTCCCATTTAAATGAAAAATGAATCAATCAAATGGATTATGAGATGACAACTGTTTGCGATATACATTTCACATTTACTTTGAAGGTAAGTACATTCACAAAGGCTCTCTAAAATAAATATACACAGAAAATCTATTACAAACATTCATCAATTTCCTTCCCATGCTCTAATTAAAAACGCACACAGAAGTTAGGACGCGAAAATCATTAATAATGACTCTCCTGTCCCTAATGTAAATGATCTACTCCCTATTTCTATTAAGCACACATTTGGGAAATGTCACATACTCTAGTGCCACTTATCGGCAGCACCTTAATTATTGACTCAGTCTCACAAAAGCTAAAAATAATCACTTTTTGTTTGTCATCACTGAACATAAATGTTTGTCATCTCTTAGCGTAATGTGTACTTAGTTGTAATTCATGCTAAAGACAGAAGAGTTGATCTACATCTGTCTCTTACATCGTCGAGCAAGAATGACAGCGAATCACTCTGGATGCTATGCAAATTTGCAAGCATCTGGAATATGAAGTCGTCAAAAGGGTGCATATGTTTGCTGCGTCAACAGGACTACATGTACATCATCTAGCTCTGCATCGCATTGCCACCTGTACATACACACACACAAACCCCTGGCGAACCACTACAGCGTAATAACAAATGGAGCTTTAAATGTCTGAGGTTAAATTCGTGTATCATATTTCCAGATCTGAGCGATATTACAATGTGTCGAGTTTAACTTCATCAATTTAGCCTCATAATGGCCTAATAATAACAGGCCATCACTGCTAAATTGAGTACATTAGCGATACCCCGTAGTCAGCGCTATTTCCAAAGTACGTCAAACGGCGTGACGAGTAATTCCAATTAAGGAGCTCGTTACTCAGTCGTGGTTGTCATTAGGGCCGTGTTGCCAATTTGCCCGCCATGGTTACACCCTGCTAGCTTCTTCTCCGTCTCACATTTTTTCTCTCCCCTCACATGGCCTTTTTTGTTTTGCTCTCCATGCATGAGTCAACATCTTTATTCAAATCTGCTTTATTAGGGACTTAGGTCGGACAGACTCGTCACAACCAAATTCAATTTGTCCCTGTTCCAAGCATCTCCGACACCTCACCATTTGATTTCAGAATCAGATGCGCCCCTTCCTAATTGAATTAAGCGCTAATTAGGCGTGATTTGTCGCCCATTAAGTGACAGCGACGGGGAATCATATATCGCCTGATGTGAAAACAGGAGCAATCGGGTAGTTGTCTATGGGTCGATGGACAAATGTAAACAAGACGATTACGACGACGTTAAGTTGTTATATTGTCTGTCTGACCTTGGGAAGTGCTTCCATAGTTCCACTTGATATAGAGGCGGGATTAATTGATTATCTATTTTCATACATATGTAGACTGCCTGTCTGGCCTGCAATGCGTACAGGCTTAGTGGGATGTCCGACCAAAGCCCAGAACCAATACGTATAATCTGCATAACAATCCACTCATGCTCTTATTGGAAAGATGGAAGTTAAAGATCGTCCTGGGATCAATGGATCAGAGATAATGAACATATTCTATCTCAATGTGAACATGACTCCTTGGTATGTTCTTATCTAATGTATATTGGTTTGTCCAAACCAAGACCTGTAAAAAGAGAAAGTAGATGTGGCACATATCCTTTTTAATGCATTATTTCAAGAAGTCACATTAACTGTATGAACTCAAATAATGAGAGATCGACTTGAATAGTATAGTCCTACATATTGTTTTGTTAAGGTGTTTGAACCGACTTACATGGACATATTTCAATTATGTGAAATAGAAGTGTCCAACTTTTTTTCTCCCAAGTCCTTTCTGTGCTTCTTATGAGATCTATTTGATATGGTAGAAGTACAAAGACATCAATGAGACAGCGCGATGATTCTCAGGTGAATATATTTAGATCTGACTCAAGATAGTAGAGTGAGTGAGGTCAACCAAGATGACAAGCTTTGGTGGGATCAATTAATAACACATCACCCTCTTCCCAATTCCTTGACATAATCTTCAGAGATCATACTCACTGTGCCAAGAAGAAAAGGAGGGGTAGAAAGGTAACCCACCAGTGATAATCCCTAGATGATCTACCCAGATTAAGAGGGGATTAAGGGTGACAGGATACACAGGGGGTTAATTACCATGTCAGGGATTGGACAGGGTATGAGTTATTTGACATTATGCCCTTCCATCAAGCTACTCTTCCATGACGTGACATGTCCTTCATGAATATAAAGAAACAACAGTGATATGTGCCTCTCATTCAGTCCAAGGTAACATCAAAGGCTACTACGTACAACCCAATACAGAAAAACACACTGCTACTCCACTGTAATGCATGATTCTGCATTAATTGTATGGATAGGTCAAGAAGTCTGAAGTAGTCAATGTCTTCTCCACATATTCATGACCTTTGCCTCTACCAAGGCCTCTTTGTTTTGAATATTTGTAAATATGATTTCACATCATAAGAATACCATTTCCATTTTACGAGTTAAAAAAATCAATAACGTCTGAAATATCATTAAAATGGTAAACGTGACAGATTGAGTTTCAATAAATTTTGCTAATTTAGACTTTAAGAGAATCAAGTGTAACCTCAGAGCAGGATATTTGGCAAGGCTCATGTTTGTTTGTCTTTTCAATAATTCAGTGAGTCTTTCGGTAAGGAAATTCTGCACACATGCAAACAACATCAATGGAGCCACTCTCTCTCGTTTCAACCCTTTTACATTGAACTTGCGTGTGCGTGTGTGGAGTAAGCCAGGCATTCGTTTGGCTACACCTCAAAACCAACGGGGGAAAGCAGCAAAAACCTGAAAGCTTACTTTTCAACCACAGAAAGGAAACAGTTCAATTATCTCATTTTGTCCTGCCAGTTTCCCCTGCTTCCCGATAAAAACAATGCTGATACTATACTATGGGTATCAGGAGGCTGAAACACTAGATACTCAACAGCTACCGTATGTCTGATCCCTATAAGCCCAGCAATTTCCACTCCATGAAAAGCTTTATTTGTTTATTGATATAATTGTCTCAAAATAGACACTATTCTCCTCTGGGTGGCACTACAGACACAAACAAATTAACAAGGCATTGCAGCAAACTCCTAAAGTAAATTGATATCCATATCAGATTAGCAACGAGTGAGGGTGTAATTAGACTGATTGCTGTATCAGTCTATCAGATTAATCGTCTAAATTGATTTCCTGAAGTCTCGTAACAGATGACTGTGGTAGGCAGAAAACATCCTTCTCAAATAACTTTTTTTTTTTACAAACAGTAGGATGAAAAAATGACAAAGTGTGACATGTTTACCCTCTCGTGGAAATAGTAGACTTTGTCATGAAACAAAATAGATAGATTTCCTGTTTTCTTTTAACAATATCAATATCAATGTTCATTTCTAAACTTCCTTCAAATATTTTTTCTAGCTAAATTGCTGTTGGCGTTACAATTGCTGGGAATATTTTGAAAACAACATTACGACAATACTTTAAAAGATTCTCATTTGATCATGGCAGTGATATATGTAGATAGTAACAGGGCACGTAATATGGAAACCTTAGTGTTGAAAGGAATGTAGAAAGCAACACATTTTTAGACATATCTACCTCATATAATAATAAGAAACCGGGCAATTCTGAGTTCTGACATCCTAGTCAGTTTCTCTTGAATCTGCCACTTTCCAACTCACAAGCAGAACTCACAGGAAATGGAGGATAGCCTTTACTTTGCACTCACAAGCCCATCAATATATCCTGAATATGACAGCCGCCAATCCCCTACTCGCGGCACACACAGCGCATGCATACAGAGCTTTTCACAGATTTGGATCCGTTGCAGATACGAAGAGGCTCCTATATTTAGTCCTAATCGTTGAGCATTTCTATTCTCGTCAAAGAGATAGAGGGATCCCAGAGGCAAGGTCATGGAGCTTAAGTCATTGGGGGCCGGCAGAACGAGGGAGAATCCCCTACGAGGATGACTTCCATGCAAATCGGGCATCTTTTCTTTCTTTTTAAAATTCTGTCTGATAATTCTTTGAGGGTAACTTGGAGGCTGAAGTGGAACCACTTTCTGGTTTGGAGGATTGGAAACATTTCTGGCAAATTTCCCCCAATTTCCCAACTAGGAAGAGGACAATTTATGACTATATCCTCTCTTCCTTCCAAAAGCTTATAACAGAACACTCTGTTCTCTTTATTTTTGGCATTATATATATATATCTCCTGTAGTAGAGTTTATGCTCTTTCTTTATATATTGCTATCCCAGGAGTTGTAAACAAACTTGACATGGAATTTCTGAACTTTTGTTCAACTTCAGGTCCTTATTAGTTATTACACAAATAAAGTTTGTTAAATATAATTGTTAACGATAAAGTTATTTTTTAAATCCGAATAAGGTTACAAGAACTGTTGCCAAACTTTTGAGCCAATTTTGGGGAAAAAATATAATTAGCCTCTGGTTAATTTGGTATATTTGGAAGGTTCTCTCATTAAAATACAGGCACCATTAGTGTTATTTTTCTAATAAAGATTTTGAGGATTGTTGTCAAATATGGATTTCACCTATGCTGTTCCAGAGTTCGTTCATATCTACATAAGACGAATCTATTCAATCATAATAAATTTATCAATATGCAATGTTTATGCTCCGACTAAGCTTACGATTTGTATACAATGACAATAAAACAAGCAATATCTGTTCTTACTGTAGCTAAAATGAGTTATAAGATTACCTCTTGTTTTGAGAATAGATTGGATGAAATTTCCCCACAACTAAGACTTGAGATGAAGATTTGTTGGCATTTCTCTCTTTCATATGACTTCTAGGTCACACCGCAAAACCGCAAAATCAATTTTAACGATACTCAAAGTGCACAAGCACCTCCGCCTTATTAAGTTGGGCGAGAATGTCCCATCTCTCGGCAATAAAATTACGGTTTTATCAACATCTGAGGAATAAACCACCAAATATAAGCTATCAAGCGATCAAGATCCTAGCATTCTGGAATAATAACAGTTCTTGAGACTGGACAGCAGTTTTACAAGTGATTTAGAGAATGTTCAAATTGGCCAGCCAAATTGACAAGATTGTGTAAAGGTCAGACGAAGGTCAACTACTCTAATTGAAAATTGAGTCTTTTATTTGAGGTTTGCATCATGGCTAATTTAGTTGAACCACTTGTTTGGTAATTCAAAGAGTTTTGGGGTCTATTAATCCCAAAGATTTCAGCTTTGAAATGGTAACACGAGCAATATTTTCAATGCCAAGTATTGAAAATAAAAGGTAAACAAATGGGGAAAATTCAACAAAATAGTAAAGAAAGAGTACCTGTCCTTTCAATTACCCTGTCCAATGACTGAATGTTAAAATTGCATTTGGTGACTAAATGAAAAGTTATATTATAAATTATTTTCATGACAGTGACCATAGGACTGTGCACAAAGCACGATGACCGACGACTGACCCCCAAGAAATAAAAAATAAAATAAGAATCCCTTGCTGACCAGCTTTCGACCCGAAATGAGATTATGATGAACGTTAAACCTGGCGCAGACACGATGGCATTCAAGCAATCTCAATTTGCTCGTTCCCAAGCAATCTAGTCCGGGATGCAACTTCATTATACCAACAGCGTGGCCAAGCGTCGATGCCTCCTTTGAGCAAATTATGCTGAATTTGTGCACTCTCTTTTTGCACTATTTGAGAGACCTAAATCAACTTACAAATCCATACATTCTCTTCCCTGTACATGCGGGGCCATCAGCTTCGTGCTGTCTCTCTATTTAACTTTATTCCATTTAGCTTAAGTTATGGATAAATGGCTGATCAATTACAGATTTGTTACAGAGGGGAGTGACCTCGAGATTTTCCATAACCTATACCTGCCTGCATAAATCCACAATCCATCTACAACTCTTCAACAATTGTTGCATTATTCTCTCTGCATTCAAAATCCATCTGTTTGTTTCTCTCCAATTTTCGCTTAATTCGGGAATGGATGTCAGTAAAAGGGCACGGCTCTATCGTAAGTACCCCCATGTTGATGTTTTCTCTATCGGCTGACATTTTGTTTTAATTTTCTCTGAGTGTCCAAGCGAATGTTCGTATGCTATATTGATACTCGCAATGATTGGTTAAGCATTTGTGCATCCCTTACTTTGTTATCGTCCTTGAGTATGTCCTAACCATTTTCATTTTAGGGGCAAAATTAATTTAAAAAAAAAAAAAAAAAAAATTCAAGGAAAAAGAACATGCAATGCAGTGACTTTGAATGTCAAATTTTACCAATGTAATATGCAGTAAATCTACAATTAGGGATAAATATTTACATGTGTAAAATTCTTGTGCGTCTAATCAATGTATCTTCATGTAACTCTACAACATTTATAATCCAAAACATTGAATTATTACGTCTGCACTCTTTTGAATACAATGCATTCTATGATTGGAGGGAAATTATATTTTATCCTTATTCGTCTTCATTGAATTTAAGGTTACATACTGTGAACATGTTTTGAGCTACTATCAATATCTATAATAATTATTTTTGCAATGTTTGTAATTATAGCTATACTTTCTAAGATACTCACGTGGATAGTGCGCCGGTGGCTGCTCTGAATATTGAGGGGGTTGTCCCTGGTTGGGGGCTGCGAGTGGCGTGCTCGATGTCAGTGGTGGGGGTGGTGGCAGCAAGGGGGATGAGAACATGTGGGGGTTGGGATGATTGGGTGGAGGGCCCTTAGGCTGCTGGCTATTGTGTTGCTGCTGCTGCTGCTGCTGCTGGTGGTACTGGCCGTTGGGGTATGGCTGAAGGGAAGAGGGCCGATGGGTCGGGGTACCTCGTGCCCCTGCTCCGTTGGGCGGCCCAATGTGACCAGAATTACTGTGAAAAAGATAAGATGTAGAAAAAGATGGTTTGCTATTAATTGTTCATTAATTGTTTCTTTCATACTTGAATAACCCTTACATGGTAGAAATGTTTCAAAAACACATCCTGTCCAGCCATTACAAACAGGCAAAACAGCTTATTGAACAAACAAGTGAAACATTTATTTAAATAATTATAAGTGTTGTATATATTCAATTGATGATGTTGTACTTAACAATGTTAGAATAGAATATACAACTGTATCATATGTGATAGGTACTTGATATGTCCCCCTAGTGTATTGAGGGAAAGTGTATCTCAGTTTTGTCAATACGCACATTTCTGAATCGTCATGGTATTTGTGAGTCATTTCCACAACTGCAAGGGTCAAATTTCATATTCTGAAAGCCTCCCACATGATTTATCATTCTAGGTGGCAATATTTATAACTGATATCATATGTTTCTATTAATATGTTTCACATGGAATAACTCTTATTGACACCATTCTGGAAGCAGTCCTGACAATATCAATTTGAAACACAAACAGCTGATGGTTCAGAAGGAAATACCATTTGTCAGAATTAGAGACAACCCAGCATATGTTTTGTTTTGGCCCATTTCATAAAAAAAACTACATGTATATAGGCCTATTAGCTAATTCTGGCCTTAGTCTATGAGAACAAGCATTTAAAGAGATTGGCTGAAGACAGCGGTTGCAAATGATAAGCTTATGTGATGAGTGGATGAATCAGATTCGCAGCTCAGATGGAAGAGTTTATTTCTGTAGCAACTTATTTATTATTACACATTCTTCCTTACTTCATGGCAATAAAGATATCACCAATTATAAAATATTTCTTTTCCTAGATATTGAGTACCAAAGTAACTTCCACTCATTTACAAATGATACACCAAAGAAAATGAATACCTCCTAGATTTCTAACTCTTCATAAACTTGTGCCAACAAAATTATCTTTTCACTTTTATATCCATAAATGGTTATGAAAGATCCGAAATGAAACACAAAGATGATATAAGATTTTCAAAATTCGCTTGAACAGAACCAGAGCAAAAATTAAATTCTATCCATTGTAATATCCAAAGATGGATTGAAAAACCTCAAATATAACACACAAAGAAAGAGATTGTCAAAGAATATCTAAGAGCCACATAAGGACCTTCATAACCAGTGCAAAATGATGACTGCAAACCTTTCCTCCTATATATCCACCATTCCTATTGATTGCCGATGGATGCTATTATTTTTTCCCCCAATGTATGTTTCCGAACTCATTTCCTGGCGAAGCGTAGCCGCGTATTGATTGCCATTGATTTTCTTTTATTCGTGGTCGATGAGTGTTTCAGGTCGCGGCAACGCTAGAGATGCTCAATTTCGTCCTTTCCCCTGAAATAGTGAACTTGCAATCACGTTCTTATAAATGTGCCCAGCGTGTCGTAATCTCCTTCACGTATGACATTCGATCGGTAAGAGGGGGAAAAAACAGAGAGGCTAGAATCTAGATTAAATCTATCATTCATTACCCTATTTGCATATTGAATAAAGAGCATCTCAGATTTCTTCATCCCTTTGACGATACAGCACTGGAGAGAGAAGAATGGTGTGGCATCTCTAATCACATTTGTGATTTGTATTCCGTACCCAAAGCCTGGGGGTTACAAACTCTACTTGATTGATCAACCTATTACTATACTTTGAACAACATGGGGAGGGGGAGGGGGAGTCACTCTTCTTGTGTAATCTCACGATCATACCTACATGTATTTTTAATAACCCCCACCCCTAAATTTATCAAATTCATGACAAAAAAACATAAAAAATGAAAAATAATCACTTATGAGCTATTTCTCTTTTTATAGGTTTTTCTACATGCATTGATTATAACAAGAAAAAGAAACCAATTAAAATTGAAGAATAGAAAGAATTTTTTTACAAAAGACAACATGAAATCGACAAGAACTATGAAGATATGCAAATGAAATTAAGTTCAAAATTGTAACAACACCAGTCCTCTTGATCTAAAATCTTCTATGTTTATTCTACGAAAAAGATCCCCGAAGATGCAAGAGAAAAGATCATATATTCCTTACTTGTCCTAAATCAGACTGCATTCCTAGTGTTACAATATATTCCACTCGTTCATTTAGAATGCATGTATAAATCCAATCCAAGACCACAACTTGTCATGTTTTTCTCCTCTCTCAGAGTTATTATTTTTCCAGCTTCCTGCAAGATATCACAAACATGGCGTCGATGCTCCGAAAATACATCCAATCGACTTGAATCCAAAGAGAGAGAGGTAACACCATCGATTGATCACCATCGACGGCAATTCACCAAAAAAAGTGAGTGGAAAGCCCAAGAAATCTCCACGGAAGTTGAGCATTCTACGATGGGTGTCGGGAGATCTCCGTGGAGGGTTAGGGGGGCTTAGGTGGAAAGCGTTTCCAGCAGATCACTAAAGCTACTCTCGAGTCCTTCTCCCCTATCACGTGTTGATTTGCCCTCGCTTGTCTTACGACCAATCCAATGCACTCTTGACTGTGATGCACAGCGGGGCTTGTTTCCACTGACAACATACTTCATCTAAAACACATCTAATCTATGCTATACAAACACTTGCTTGTCTTGCATGCTCATAAATGGAAACAAGCAACAGATAAACATGACAATGGTAACATTGTAAGTGAGTATATTACATCCGGATACAGTAACCAGCAACTGGTATGGAGAGAGAAAAGACCTCCAAATATACTTCATATTGTGCAAATCACCAATATCATTTGTGGTGTTGAACAATTCAATGTATATGTTCACAGTCTGAAAAAAAATTTATTATACTATTTTTGTATGAACAAACAGTAAAATTGAATGTCAAAGTAGGATGACAATCTTTATAATATAATAAGGAGTTTTGTAAACATACACTCACCTTATAGTCCTACAAGAAGAAAGTAAGACTTAAAAACTCTACAATGGAAAGCGTGGCATTCTGCGATATTCTTAATTCCAGTAAGATGTTTCCAATCTGTTATAATTCACAACAATGTCTCCAAGCTCCTGATTAATGTAGCAATTGATCAGTAATGTGACGGCACACCCCTACCGGCAATTTCCATGTATCATGTTGCAATGGGAATCACAAGGAGTTGAAAGTAGCATAGCAAGCTAACTGGGTATTTCCAACGATTTAATCCATGATCGGGGAGAGCAACCTATCTGAGATTGTTAGAGGAGGAGGCGTCAGGCCCTCCTATAAGATGGATGATTGAGCCAAGGTGCAAATCCAAGCAACTCACTGGCAAGTCCCAAATGACGATGACTTGTCATCATCTCGGCAATACAGGGCCGGCGCTTCTTATTCCACTTTGCATGTGTCTCCCCGCGCACCAAATAACACTAGATCAGCTGCAAATCTGTAGAATTAGGGTCCCTCTCTGCTGTAAGCCGATGAATCGGTGGGTTCAGCTGGAGGGATTAGGTGGGGGAAGCAGGGAAGCGTCTCCTTGATCCCAAGGCAACTTAATCTCGCCCCAAGCTGATCCTGAAGAAAGCCTTTCACCGTTTACCTCCTTGTTTTGATCATAGTCTACCTGAGGCTATAGAATGCTGGGTAGGCCGGCACAGCTAGCTATGCATGGCTGGATGTGAGGTGTTCCTGTGAGCTAGTCACTTGCCCCTTTGCTATGAGAGCACACGTATCACTGATATCCCTATCCACAGAGTCATTACGATGATGGGCATTAATGGATGAATAACGCTCTCAGCTGTCTCGTGGGGTCTCCACTCATCACCGCCTTTGTCAGTCGACGCAAACGGCAACACACGCCGCGAGCGCCAAGTCAAGCGGTGAGCTCAGCGAGAAAAAAAATTCAGGCAGCAACAACACCCTTCACTAGGCAGCCTTCCAAAACAGGAGCATCTCTCAATCTCTATCAGGCCGCATAACAACGACAACAACCGACAAAATTCAATTATTACCCAGGCGCTTTCTCATAAACTGGAACAAACTCAGTTTGTCACATTTCCTGCGCGGTTAATGTCATACCGGAGAAGGTAATCGGAGCCCCGGCGATGATGATATCGGGGAAAGACCGAGGTAACGGATCGTTAAGCACCAGAGCCTGGCTTAGGAATTGATGATCCTTTGTAGCGAGGAATGACCTAATTTACTCACATTTCCTGCTAATTATGGACCAGCACAAACATGTGTCTCTGAGGAACCCTCGTCCTTCATAACCCCTTCTCATCAGGGAGCCACTACCCCACCCTAGAGACTACCCCTATCTCACCATTTGACGAGGAGGGGGGTGTGGTGAAGGGGGAGATTTGTTCCCAATTTCCTCCTCAAATCATCCAATTACTGTTGCAAGAATCTGCTCCTGCGTAGCTACACAAAAATGAGAAGCATCACAAATAGACAGCAGGCTTGAAGACTTGCTTGGAATTTGTCATTTGTGCCCTCCCTCTCCATTTCATCCCAATTATAGCGAGGAATTCAAAGCGAATGCTAGCAGTCGTAGCGTGATAAACAAACAGAGATGAAGATCATCACCAGTAATTTGTTTGGACGTCTTATCGGGCTCACTTCTCCCTCCTACATCCTGCTGATCTATGAACATTGAATGGATGGTTTGGGACGTTTCCCCTCTCCATCCCGACCGACCCGCACGCTACTCCACTCCACTAATCTGCCAAATTGAAAACAGCAACGCCTTTCAAACCAACATCAAAAACATTACGCATCATCTCTTCCCATGTAATCTCCCGCTATCTTTCTCTCACATCCATTGAATTATCATCAAACTGACTTGTCGCCTGGATATTCACATCATATACATTAACAAGCTGCGGGCAAGGCATGTCAACAATGCAAGAAAAAACAAAGGATTTGCTAATTCTCATCGAAACTACCTTGTTGCGGTCGTATTGCTTGAACTTCAACTACCGAATTCCCAGACATATCCACTTCCAAATTTGATTACAGCTCTTCCAGTAGGATATATATTTGGTCACTGATGTCAAATCAGACAGTGAAATCATAGATCGTGTAGGGTGGGGGGGGGGGGCAGGGGGAAGGGTTACCCTCTTAGATTTAGGTTTCACGACAAGAGTGTTTTTGAACCCCCTTAACTTCAAAGACATCCCAAGAGATCTGTCTTCATAGAAGTGGGCGGACAAGAGCGTGACAAATTTCCTTGACTGATTATGGGTAAGGTAAACCTCTTGTAGCATCTATCACAAATGAGAATGGATCAGGGTATTAGTATCCAGGGATTAAGACAGAGGTCAGAAAAAGTGTTGTGGGGGGGGGGGGGGGGGAAGGGGATAATAAATGACCATCAAGGAAGGAAGGAACTTGTTTTGTTTCTTTCGGGAGGGTCCTGATGACAGAAGTCTAGTAAAAGACAAATCAACAAGAAAATTTGAGTGAGGAAAAAACAAAGGAGGCTTCTATGTCAATCAAAGAAATACAGCACTGATTTTGAAATTTCATTATTGGACAGAGCAAGAGTGAGAGAGGGTGAGAGAGGGAGAGAGAGAGTGTTTGTATATATATATATATATATATATATATATATATGTGTGTGTGTGTGTGTGTGTGTGTGTGGTGTAAAGAGAAGAAAGAGTATAGAGAGAAAAAGAGTAGAAAGAAGGGAGAAGAGGCGGGAAGACAAAAGAAAAGATTTGAGGGGAGAATGAAGGGGTCGAGAGGTGAGAAGAGTGAAAGGAGAAGATCAACCCATTAAAATGGTGACACGCACATCTAATGCGACATGACAGAGATGTGGGGGAAGGGAGGGAGGGCGGTGTCAGTTCCTACGTGAGAAGCACAAGACTATGAGGCGGTTTCTCGACAGTAATCCCCGGGATTAGGGTTAAGAGGGATCGTAATTCTACACGTTACAATCAAGGTCACCGACAGATCATGGTAGATGGATGCGGTGAGATGAGAGTCTACGTAAAGGGAAACACTCATTATGTTCAGGTGATAGGTGCATAAAACCACACAATTAACACTGCAGGAATAGCAAGCAGTACAAGGATTAGTTCCATGGAATTCCTATAAACCGTTTCTATTAACGTCCTTTCAGCACCTGTTAATACGTAATTAAATCTCAGTCATTAATTGAGTTTAATTGTAATTACTATCAACTGTTATATAATAGAATTCTGATGGGGCGAGTTTTCAGTCGACAGCTTAACCTACATTAATTCTGAAACCCAACCCAAAATATTCAACACCCAAATCTAATAATATTCATTTAATCTCTTCATGTTTATATTATTTTGATTCATATCATCTTGATTTATTATTTATCATCAATCATTGATAAAATATCAATATCGATTTATAACTTGATCTCTCTTGCTTCCTTCTGTTGCTTCCATTTTTACAATTTCCTATTTCCATGACATCATAATGTTATTCAATCTCTACTCACATTTTCTATATAATTTATTGCTGTCAATAATTGATGGTCAATAATAAATGGGAGGATTGGGGGGGGCAACAAAGGGACAATGAAAAAGCCGTTGTCATGACCTGAACATTATCGAGGGGGCATTCCCCTTTCTGTTGCCTTCACTTCTCATCTCCGCCCCTAATTGGCTGCGTCTTCTCCTTCATCGTTAAACAAGAGCTCTCTCTCATTCTCTCTTGCACATAAGACAGCAGCATTAATCCAATCAATTAACTAATTAACAAGCAGAGACAAGGTATAGAAGGGTTGTTAATAGCCCCACTACCCCTACCCTCTACCACCTGTTGGCTGAGTCACACTGGTAACAGATGAATGAATAGTCCCTAACTCTGACTCATCCATACCCCTATATACTATCATTGATAGGTGAGGCGCACAGGTCTTACTCTAACTATGCAATTCCAAAGTAACAAAATAACTTAAAAAGTATCTAGATGTTCTTTCTAGAGGTACACTTCAGTTATATCAAGTCATCTCAGGAATACAATTTCTGCTGTAAATCTCTTTGTACTATTTAAGACAGTATTTGAGGGATGAAGAAAGCTCTTTTCTGAACATTTTGTCCCTTTGAAGTACGAGAAAAAGAGTTCTTTCATTTCAGCATTTTTGGTCTTATATTGGCTTGCAAATAATGTACTCTATAAATTTAGCTATCTAATTCCTTTTACTATCCTCTCTTTCATGTTCACTTTACAAACGAGAATGATCCTCTTTACAATCGTGAATGATTAAAGACTTATATGAACATCAATTTGTCTACAACACTTACTTCAAAATAGGCTTCTTGGCTCTCTAGCCCATCTATGTGAAGTTCCAGTCATCGTATGTCCACACCAATATCTCATGAAGCACTTACAAGAAAACCTTTCTTTCGCTGGTGGAAAAATAGGGGCCCAAACCATGAAAAGTGAGCAATCGCTTTAATGCCAGGCATCGGAAAGGCACTCTATCGCACAAAGATATACATCTGAGCGACATTTCTAGGGAGAATCACACATTATGAAGCCGTCTTTCAATGCACTGTTGACATTCAGTCGTGACTCATCAGAGGGAGGGCTTGCTTTGGGTGCAGAAAACAGCAGGGGGGAGTTCCCTGATGCTCGGTGACAACTAACAAAAATACCCAGCTTCCTTCACATGCTGTCTTGTCACCTTGAATGCTGCCATCTTGGGATCAATTTATGCCAGACTGTTGAGTTTGGTTTCCTAAGTCACCACTTTTACAATAATTTATGATTCTTTCATTACATCCTACACTGCTGAAAGTAGCTTCAGTAAATGAGCAAAAAGTTTCCTGATCTATGATTCAATCTTTTAAAAAAATTTTTTTTTAATTGCTAACTAAATCATGATCAACATATCCTTTTGAAATTAAATGTAATGTTGCTACAAGCAAATTTATTGTGAAAATTGCAAACAAATCCTTTTCTTTTCTTCACCAATGAGATAATCATTTATATTTCTGCAAATCACAAATATTTATGATGCTGTTTGGGCTTTCACTTGCAACAACATCAAAAAAGTTATTCCATGTAAACACACCTTTTAGGATATACTTGAGGATGCCATGAGAGTAAGATCAATTGTACTGAATGTAATGACTTCAAGGTGTAAATGAAAAGAGATAAAAACATACCTATTCCAACCAGGTCCTTTACTAAAGCCGCTTCCTCTATTGTCTCCTCTGTCCAGTGAATGGTCTCTCTGTATAAGTCTCTCGTTCTTCCTCTCCTTCAGGGTAGGATCCTGATGGATCAGCTCCTGGGGTCTACCAGGAAGCAGATCCTGATGGGCAGGGCGGGGTGGACCCCCTAGACCCTGAGAAGCGAGACGGGCGTGGTGGGCGGGGTTACTCTGGATGACATTGCTGCTGATGTTGGAGGCAGAAGTGGTAGTGGTTGTGGTGGTTGTGGTAGTGGTAGAGAATGGATGGTGGGGCAGCGAGGCTGCAGCAGCGGTTGCTGTGATGACTGAGTTGTTGTTGATGATCGTGTCTGGCTTGGCAGCGTTGACTGGAGGAAACGGGTGACCTGTGGGTGGGGGTATTGCTGACTCCAGAGGGGAGGGACTCGCATCCCCGTTGAGCTGGGGTGTGGTGGAGATGAAGTTCGGCACTGGGTCTCCTGAAAGAACAACACCAAAATGAATTAAAAAAATCATACTCACCAACTGATATAAGTGCTCCTACTAAAAAATAACAAAATGCATGAAAGAAAATGAAAGAGAAATTGCTCTTCCTTCTATCAAGGACAATACTCTTAATACAAGTGCAATCTCTACATAGTGCATCATCACTTTTGGATTTTCTGATGGAAGTTGTTGGGACATTTTACTACAAAATGATGAATCTCTTTTCTTCCTATCCTTAAAAAAACTACTTCCTCATCTTGCTATTGATCACAAACACATCTTTCCATCCTCCTAAACTCTTTCCAGTCATCCATCCCTGTCTCATTATAACACCATCAGCTCCGCAACATCAAGCATCTCCAACGCCAGCCAGCCATCATTGCCAAAACACAACAGATACAGACAAGGCAGGGTTGCATTATTTACATCATGTTATGGAATCACAAATAGTCTGAGGCAGGTAACAAACAAGCCAGCTCCCCAGCATGCCACTAATCTGATCAAGCCGTAATCTAACTTAGCCCCAATCCCAGATTGACACCAAATTGAATTCGCACACTCAGGGGGAAATAATTAACCTACCAATTTGGATTGGCATCCTCTGTGCTCAACTTATTCTTGCCATTTTTTTCTCTCCGTCCACCCCTCTTCCCTCCCCTCTACCACATCATCCAAAGCATCTCGAGAGCGTATGCTCGCCAGGTTTGCGTGCAAGGACTGAGAACAGAGGGCTTACATTTCACCAGCTTTGTTTCTAAACATGTTATGCTATTCCTTTCCCTTTTCGAGAGCTATCAATCTCTAAATTGAAACTAAATCTGTACGTGATTCCCCGTAAATTGAGGCTGCATTGTATTACATCCATCAATAACTCCCCTCCCTAGCCAATCATTTGAACCAATTCTCATGATCTGTTTAGGAGAGGCAAGGAAACTAGTGCAACCACTATCCCAAAATGCTCCTAACAGATTGCAATTTGGGGAGGAAGGCCATCTAGTCCTTCAATAGATTCACAGTAATCAATGTGATCTTCAAGACTTTTGAAACTGTCCAAGGTGTGGAGAGGGGACACTTCTCTCCAATTACTGAGGATGCTCATGACAGTAGGTCTTGGTTACGATGATCAAGGCACTTCAATCATTCATCAACTTCTTTATTTCATATGAGCAAGAACGCCTCCCCTCCTTAGTGATACAGACATAGAGGATGAAAGATTTTGGAAATTTCACAGCTAACATCACAAGTACATCCCCTCTCAAGCACTAAGAGTGTACATTTATTCAATTGATGATGCATAAAAGCACACTTGTAGTGACAACCAACACTCTCCCCTAGATCCTAACTCATTCTCACAGCAACCTACAGTGTAATTCATTTTACCTTGTATATCAAAATGCAATAAACCTCATGAATATCCTCACATTTTAAAAAGAATAAAACAGCTAGCAAATAATGGGGAAATAAGGATCCCCACTCCAAAGCGATCAAGAGCATTCAAAGGGCATCTAAAGTCACAGATGAACATCCATCACGCCCACTTGCAGCCTTCGTCTTTGGCGTAAGAAGTCAAGCAACCTTGACAGGGTTCGGCACTCGAAATTGAAAACAATTGGCTGCTAATGAAGTCTCGGCTAAGTTTTCAAGACTAATCAGTGCCCTAAATTGGCCCGATGTATGCAAGGCGGGGCTCCCTCGTTTGTCCTCTCCATAGCAAGAATCAGTGGGATGAGGAAAGATGGGTTTAGAATGAATGTGATTCGACCTGCTACCACCGGGGTTGTAATCAGGGGTTGTAATCATGTCTGGAATAAAGGTGGTAATGAGGGGGGAAGGAGCAAGGATCAGTAAATTGGCAACATGTTCAGGAACAAGATAGATTAAGGGATGGAGAGGGGGAGGGAGAGAAGAGATAGAGAGGAAGGGGAAGTGAGAGAATGTAGAGAGAGAGAGAGAGAGAGAGAGGGGGGGGATGGACAAAGAAAGAAGTTGAAAATCGAATGTATAGCAGAAAAAAGTTGAAAATTAAATTATGACAGAAAGCAGAAAGGAGAAAGAAAAAAGGAGAGAACAAAAAGAAAGGTGCACAGGGTCAAAGAGGCAGAAATGAAGAAGACAGCTAAATTGAGAATGTGAACACTAAGAGAAAAAAAAGATAGAGAGAGAAAGAGAGAGAAGAGAGAGAGAGAGAGAGAGAGAGTAGAGAGAGAGAGAGAGAGAGAGAGAGAGAGAGAGAGAGAGAGAAGGAACCCAGAGGCAGTTCCTGTCCTGAATACAGAGCTGACAGCTTTGATTTAACTGAAAAGAAACACTGGCTTATTTCGCCTGCATTATTCCCTGAACAATTGACCTCGTATATGATACATATTTTCATTACTACACATACAACAAAAGGTGAAAGTGAATCCCATGACACCGCTATGTGACAAAGACAACACTTTTTGCAGTAAATTCTTCTTATACCCCTTTCATAGTGCTTCCATCGGAGTCACACTGAGCACAGAAAAATGATTCCCCCAGCAATGAAATAACAAGAAAATTTATAGCAAAGCAACCACAACAAAAAGGGGGAAAAAACCTTATGGAATTGTAGAGATTTGTATCATTCCAAAATCCTCTCAAAGGGAAAATAGACCCCTCCCCTCCCCCAAAGAAGCTTTCAATTTACATTAAAATGGGTAAAAGCAAAGGCACAAAATAAAGAAGCTACCAAGAATTTGCAAGTCAGAGTGATTCTGAAAGGGAAAGGTCAAATGAGGTCAGAATGGATGCTGTGATGGGGATTTGTCTCCAAGTGAGATGAGTTTTGAAAGAGATTAGAGGTCTTGTCAATCTTCAGATTACTAGTATGCTACACACAGTGTGGGTGTAATTTAGTGATACCAGGATACCTTCAAGTCTTTTCAAGATACTGCCTGGAAGATGTTAGAATGATGTATGCTCTGTTACTATATGAATCATCTTTGTCTTTCTGCCTGTTTTCATCCCCAAAATAAGTCTGACAAGAATCCGTCCCTTTAGTTTCTAGAGCAGTCTATTTGGCTCATTTATCCCTAAATATTCTTTGATTTATACCTCGTTATAATTACTGAACTTTTCAGATCATTATCATCACCAACATCATATTCATAGTTTTATTGCTAAAATCAATATCGTCATTACCACTCTTTCTCATTGAATGTCAGCAAATTCTCTTTGTATCTCCAACCTCCTCATGTGAAAGTATCATTGTCATACATGACAGATACTATATTTGAAGAATAACAATCGTATGAAAGACCTTTTAACCCTTATAAAGATTCATAAATTAAAATCTTCTGCACATAAATGATAATGATCCTCTCTTGCTAAAGCTATAATCTGATCTGGTGCTACTAGGTATCGCTAAATGACTTGAAAGGTTCATCCCATTCTTTCCGGAAACCCGATCTATTTTTAACATCTTCCGCAGCTCATAAGAATCGTTTTACAACGAAGACAAAAGAGCATCAGGAATGGTGCCACGGCTCATTAGCGGAATCATCATCACATCAGCTCCCCAGAAGCAAGGATCAAAACAATGTTAGCGTGATATCAGATCAGCCATAAGCAAGCGGCTGCAGGAGCAAAAAAAAGTTGTGCAAAAAATGTCTGCATAATTAAATCAATAAATCAAATCTCGGCATCCATGTCTTCACCGCTGGAGTGAGAGGGAGCGCACAGTGAGAATTTAGGTCAAATCTATCGCGCCGCTCATCGCCGCAAATCAATTAGATTTTCTCCGGATTTGCTCCACGCCTTTGTGGTTGATGATCCTAACAATTATTTAGTAAACTGACAAATTTAGCTCGGCTGAGGCGAGCAATGCGACAGAGCTTAGCCATGAAGGGATGGCATGGGGAATATATCGCGTCTTAATATTTCTGGGATGACTGATAATTGGATTAGCAACACAGCTATTAAATCAAATGACCAAGATGGGACATCGGAATGAAATGTTATTGCAATCAGATTGATAATGACCTTGGAAACGTAGAGAGGTAGTCGTTACACCGGAAATCTATTTCATTCACCTTGCATTCCTAGTACTTACAAGATAGCCAGATATTTTCTGATATTTCAAGTATATGCTACTGCTCATTTGGTAATGTAATACCCTTACTCAAAATATAATCAATACTTTCTTCATCCATAATTTCATATTAATTTACCAAATATGGTAAACAGAAATTAAAAAATCAAATGACTTTCTTACTTGATGTCCTGGCATGTTTAATTTAGTAGTCAACTTAGTCTTCTGGTAAACTGTCCTTAATGATAATACATCATTCACATTTGTCTTTGGTTTGCCTGTTACAAATAGGGTTATTTCTGAATTTCTATGATGTAAAGGGTCATTTTAGAAGCACCAAGATACCCTACCGTGTTGGATTTGGTATCCTGAACTTATTCAATATTCTATATTTCACTGCTTGAGGGAGGAGGGATGGTTCCATATCCGCCCACAGGACATGAATAACCTCTATCATCTGGTTTAAACCTGGATGTTAACCTTCTCATGTTGGTAACATCTGGAGTCTCTAACCCTCATGTTCATACAACCACAATTTATCATATAGGTACACAATAAACCTTCACCTTTTTTCTATAAAGAAAAGTATTACAAATGTCCTATAATGAAACACATATTTGAGCTTTGTTTCGAATAAAAATTGATAAAGAATCAGATTTTTGCTCCAGTCTGAAGTTCTAACTTGTATCCGATCTCTTCACAATTAGTTTTGATATACGTTTCTTTAACCCATGTTGTTATCTAGTCACTATACATATGATGATTCATTATATGACGTTTCTTTATGCAAGTTCCCTTTTAGTCTGAACATGGTATAAGAAGCCATAGAGACTGACTGACTGACTGCATCTGAGCCCTCCTGGTGTAACGAGTTTCGATTGGTTTTCATTTCGATTGGCTTTCATCAGCCATGTAACACAGGAAGGTCACTGGGAGTGGCCCTAG